TAGTCTCAGTTACTTGGGAATCTGAGGCAGGAGGATTGTGTGAGCCCGGGAATTCAAGGTTACAGTGAGCCATGATCACACCACTGTACTCCAGCCTGGGTGACAGAGTGAGAGCCTGTCTCTAACAACAACAAATTATTTAAAAACTGCAGAGATGAGTCTGAAAGGTGGACTTTTTTTTTTTTTTTTTTTTTTGAGATGATGTGCACCCAGGCTGGTGTGCAGTGTCGCCATCTTGGTTCACGGCACCCTCCGTCTCCTGGCTTCAAGTACTCAGCTTCTGGAGTAGCTAGGACTACAGGCGTGTGCCACCACGCCCAGCTAATTTCTTGTATTTTTAGTAGAGATGGAGTTTCATCATGTTGGCTAGGCTGGTCTCAAATTCCTGACCTCAGGTGATCCACCCACCTCGGCCTCCCAATGTGCCGGGATGACAGGTGTGAGCCACCATGCCTGGCCTGAAAGATGGACATTTTTATATTGTCAGACTATAGGTATCTCTTTTATTTCTGCCTCTTACTTTTACTGTAATACCATATCACTGTAATCTCCAATACTCCAATCCAAGAAACTTCTGTCTTCTCTATCTAAGAGAGGAACGTGTTCTGAGTTTCTTTGTTTATTTAGGAATTATTATGTTGAGATGCTATTTTAGGGAGATAAGACAGAAACATAAACAACTTATCTGATCTTTCAGTGACATTTGACTTAGTGCATCACTCCCTCCTTGAAATGGTCCTTCCCTTGTTCTGGGACTCTTGCTTTCCTGGTCTCCTGCCTGCCTCTCCAGCTGCCTGACTTCTCCTTTGCTGAGTGTTCTAGACCCTTCAGTGGAGGAACCTCAAGGCTTAGTCTCAGTCGTTCCTAGCCTGGCAGTGTACTCATCTTCTGTGCCCAGTTCCATTTCTGGCCTTAAAATGCTTGTCATTTCTAGCTTTCTTGACTGCTAAAAGTTAAGGGCTTCTAGTTATATTTCCTCACTTTATTCTTTTGCTGCCTGCTTCCTTCCTGGTGCTTTCTGATGAACTCTGTGCAAATCTCCTAATCTTTTCACTTTTCTGTTTACCTCTAGCTAGCTTCGTCAACCTAGTTCTCAGCCATGAATGCGTATCAGAATCATATGTGGGGGAAAAAAAAGAGAATCATGTGTAAAGTGTGCAGTTCCTCAAAGGGTTAAACATAGATTTACCCTGTGGCTCAGCAATTATACTCCTAGGTATATATCCAAGAGAGCTGAAAATATGTATTGACACAAAAACAGGCACATGAATGTTCAAAACAGCATTATTCATAATAGAAAGTGTACACAGCCCAATGTTGTTGGAGTAAACTGGTGAGTAAATAAAATACGTTATATCCGTACAGTGGAATTTAATTCTACCATAAAAAAAAAATTAATACGTCCATGGATTGGATGAATGTACTGATGTACATACAATGTGGATGTACCTTGAAAATTTGTGCTAAGTGAAAGAAGCCAGTCACAAAAAACTCCACATTATATGATTCTGTGTACGTGAAATGCCCAGAGCAGGCACTTTTTTTTTGAAATGGGGTTTCACTCTTGTTGCCCAGGCTGGAGTGCAATGAATGATGTGATCTTGGCTCACTGCAATCTCTACCTCTCAGGTTCAAGTGATTCTCCTGCCTCAGCTTCCCAAGCAGCTGGGATTACAGACATGTGCCATCATGCCCAGCTCATTTTGTATTTTTAGTGGAGACGTGGTTTCTCCATGTTGGTCAGGGTGGTCTCAATCTCTTGACCTTGTGATCCACCTGTCTCGGCCTCCCAAAGTGCTGGGATTACAGGTGTGAGCCACTGAGCCTGGTTGAGCAGGCACATTTTTTNAAGCTTGTGTTTATTTCAACTTAAGTTGATATTACATTAAATGAAGAATTGGAAGCTGCACTGAGGAATATCAGGATTCCTGTTTTTTGATGTTTTTTTTGAGACAGAGTGTCTCGCTCTGTCGCCCAGGCTGGAGTGCAATGGCATGATCTCGACTCATTGCAACCTCTGCCTCTTGGTTTCAAGCAATTCTCCTCCCACAGCCTCCTGAGTAGCTGGGTTTACAGGTGTGTGCCACCACACCTGACTAGTTTTTGTATTTTTAGTAGAGACAGGGTTTCACCATGTTGGTCCGGTTGGTCTCGAACTCCTGACCTCATGATCCACCTGCCTCCACCTCCCAAAGTGCTGGGATTACAGGCATGAGCCACCGCCATCTGGCTGAGCAGGCACTTCTGTAGAAACAAAAATAGATTAGTGGTTGCCTAAAGCTAGAGGGAGGGGACAAATGAGGAGTGACTACAGGGTTTTTTTTTGGAGATATGAAAATGTTCCATAATTGACTGTGGAGATGTTTACACAACTCTTTGAATATGCTGAAATCATTGAATTGTACACAAGGGTAAGCTGCATGATATGTGAACTGCATCACAGTAAAGTTCTTACAAAAAAGGAAAGAATCATATGTGGAACTTTTAAAAAATTTGGTGCCTGAGCCTAACCTGCCTTCCCTCCCCCAACTCATGTGCTAAATACTCTGATTCATTTGGAGCTCCACATAGATGGGTGACAGTGTGAGTTGACAGTCACTCCCTTCATTGGGACTTGTCTCATCCCATGCTGTTTCTCCCCCCTCCCCCCCTTGTTTTGTTTTTAAAGATGGGGTTTCACCATATTGGTCAGGCTGGTCTTGAACTCCCAACCTCAGGTACTCCTCCCGCCTTGGCCTCCAAAGTGCTTGGATTACAGGCATGAGCCACCACACCCGGCCTCCCCGTTTTTTTTGAGACAAAAATCTCACCCTGTCATCCAGGCTGTAGTCCAATGGCACGATCTCTGCCTCAGCCTCTCAAGAAGGGGCTACAGGCATGTGCCACCATGCCCAGCTAATTTTTGTATTTTTAGTAGAGATGGGTTTCCCCATGTTGGCCAGGTGGTCTCGAACTCCTGACCTCAAGTGATATACCCACCTCAGGCTCCCAAAGTGTTGGGATTACAGGCGTGAGCCACCGCGCCTGGTCCCAAACTTTTATATATTCATCTGCTTGGTGAAGTTTTCGTCTGCATGTCCCACAGACACCAGTAAGATCAGAATTGAACTGAACATTATTTTCTTCTAAATTTCCCTCCATCCTAACCCTCCACTTCTAGCTCAGTTAACAATTCCAGCCTGCATCCATGATAAATCAGAGCCCTAGAAATGTAGGTGTCATCTAGCTTCTTCTTTCTTCTTCACTCCCCAAGAACTGGATAGGATTGGTGATCAGTCATCAGTCTTATTTGGTCTACCTGTCTTTGAACTTTGTCTCTTTTTTTGGTCCCTGCCACTGCCTTGGTTGGGTACTCATCATCTCTTGCATGACTACGTCCATAGACAAATTACAGGTCTCTTTCTCTCTGTCCACTCACTCATATTCCTTATTCCTGCCAACATGAACTTGTTCATAATTAACTCTAAACAGTTTCCCTGCCCAGAGTTTTCTAATGGCTGAGGGCAAAAAAAATCTAAAGTTTTATTGTGGCATAAAAAGCTCTCTTTTTCTTTTTTTGAAACAGAGTTTTGTTCTTATTGCCCAGGCTGGAGTGCAATGGTGTGATCTCAACTCACTGCAACCTCTACCTCCTGGATTCAAGCGATTCTCCTGCCTTAACCTCCTGAGTAGCTGAGATTATAGGTGCTCACAACCATGCCCAGCTACTTTTTGTATTTTTAGTAGAGACGGCATTTTGCCATGTTGGCCAGGCTGGTCTCGAACTCGTGATCTCAGGTGATCCACCTGCCTCGGCCTCCCAAAGTGCTGGGATTACAGACATGAGCAACCACACCCAGCCTAAAAGGCTGTCCTTGAATGGCCTCTACCATCTGCTCTTCAGGGATGATGGTGAGATCCTTTCAATGACTGCCAGTTGCTCTGAGGATAAAATCTAAATGTCTTAGGCCAGGCCCGGTGGCTCACACCTGTAATCCCAGCACTTTGGGAGGCCAAGGCAGGCAAATCACTTGAGACCAAGAGTTTGAGACCAGCTGGCCAACATGGTGAAACCCTGTCTCTATTGAAAATACAAAAAAATTAGCCAGGTGTAGTGGCATGCACCTGTAATCCCAGATACTTGGAAGTATAGATACTTGAGATGAGAGAATTGCTTGAACCTGGGAGTTAGAGGCATTGGTTGCAGTGAGCTGAGATTGTGCCAATGTACTCCAGCCTGGGCGACAGAGCAAGACTCCAGTTAAAAAATAAAAGGAAATCTAAATGTCTTGCATGACACAACAGTCACTCCTGATGCGTTCTCTGCCCACCTTCCCAGCCTCACCCCTTGTCTACACATCCTCACACCCGTACATACACGTACCTTTTCAATACCATAGCACTCGTTCAGACTCCTCCTGCACCTGAAGCACCCTTCTTTATTCTTCTAGTCTGTGTGATTAATTCCTGTGTTAATTCTCAAGGATGGGCTCAAGCTCTATCCTCTTTCCCCTCTCTAATACCGCCTGTTGAGTTACACACTGCTTTCCAGGGCAAACAGCAGCTTGACAACTTGTGCAAGCTTCTTGCACAAGCTTCTATTGAAGGTACTTTCTAGATTGTCTTAGATAGGCTTATTATGTATATTTTCCCCTGGACCAGAGGACGTCATGATTTCTGAATTAAATGGCTGGCTGGCTGCTCAACTTCTCTGGGCTTCACTGAGGGGTAATAAGAGCATCTGTTTCATGCAGGTGATTATGAAAACTGAATGAGGGCATCCATGTAAACCATTTAAACTGTGCCTCATGTGTTCTAAGTATGAGTTAAAATGTCAGCTATTATTGATATTTTCAGTGCTAATATAATCCCTGTATTCAGGGCTTAGTACAGGCCTGGCGCATAATAGACTTTGAAATACTCAAGAATGTTAATAAGAACAGCAAATTAGCATAAATTGAAAAAATGAAAATAGACTTGTTTTTCAGAATTAGATCTAATAATGACTTTTATTATTTTAGTGAAAATCTGGAAATTTAATAAAGCTAAACCAGAGCCTGATATACTTGAAGAAGAAAAAATCTGTGCTTACCCCAGCAATATTACCTCGGAGACTGGATTCAGGTAAGATTTAGGTGAGAAATAAAATGAGTTTTTTCCCTTAGAAAGCTAGAAACCATTCTGATGCTTAGAATTTATGACCCTGTATTTGTACTTTCACAATTGTTTGATCTGTTTATTTCTTTTCAGCTGTGGTAAAATCAAGTCTGAATCAGGACATGTAAATTTATGAAATAGGTCATATATTTGATTCAAAAGTTAGATTTACCCACTTAGCTGACCTATTTAACCTCTCAAGAGCTTTTGACATCATTAATTGGTACTCTTTCCTTGAAGCATTCTTTTTTGTAGATGTCTTGGTTTTGTTTTTTTGAGATGGAGTCTCGCTCTGTTACCCAGGCTTAAGTGCAGTGGTGCAATCTCGGCTCACTGCAACCTCCGCCTTCCAGGTTCCAGTGATTCTCCCGCCTCAGCCTCCTGAGTAGCTGGGACTACAGGCATGCACCACCACACCCAGCTAATTTTTGTATTTTCTAGTAGAGATGGGGTTTCACCATATTGGCCAGGCTGGTCTCGAACTCCCGACCTCAGGTGATTCTCCTGCCTCGCCCTCCCAAGGTGTTGGGATTACAGGCATGAGCCACTCTGCCCAGCCTGTTTTATTCTTTTTAATGGATGGAGTCTCTCTGTGTTGCCCAGATTGGCCTCAAACTCCTGGGTTCAAGCAATCCTCCCACTTTAGCCTCCCAAACAGCCAGCCTGGCCTGCCCTCCCATGTTTCTGTCACAGCCTCTCCCTAAGTGACTTCCATGGCTTAAAATATCATTCATATCTGTTGGAGATCTTGGGGCTAAAGTAGTTGTAAAAACTATATAGGCCGGGTATGGTGGCTCGCACCTATAATCTCAGCACTCTGGGAGGCTGAGGTTGGTGGAACACTGGAGCCCTGGAGTTCAAGACTAGCCTGAGCAACATGGCAAAACTGTGTCTCTGCAAAAAATGCAAAAAAGTAGCCAAGTGTGGTGGCAGGTACCTGTGGTCCCAGCTACTCCAGAGGCTGAGGTGGGAGGATTGATTGAGCCCAGGAGGTTGAGGCTGCAGACAGTGGAGATCATGCCACTGCATTCCAGCCTGGGTGACAGAGTGAGACCCTTTCTTAAAAAACAACAACAAAAAAACTATATAAACAAAAAATGAGGTGATTATTCTAGGTAAATCAGAAGGCTGATTTACATGGCTTAACTGTGGCTAATATTTAGGTAGTGATATTGCAGATTCTGAATATTGATTTAATCCAAAATTATAATACTGCTTACTGGATTGAGAGGCTGCAAGAAAGAAGACATAAATGAGTATGTATGGCCAGGTGCGGTGGCTCACACCCATTATCCCAGCACTTTGGGAGGCCAAGGCAGGTGGATCACGAGGTCAGGCATTCAACACCACCTTGGCTAACATGGTGAAACCCTGCTTCTACTAAAAATGCAAAAAATTAGCCAGGCCCGATGGCAGATACCTGTAATCCCTGCTACTCGGGAGGCTGAGGCAGGAGAATCGCTTGAGCCCAGGAGGCAGAAGTTGCGGTGAGCCGAGATCGCGCCATTGCACTCCAGCCTGGGTAACAAGAGCGAAACTCCATCTCAAAAAAAAAATGAATGTTTCTCATGGTGAGAGTTGTCTGTTTTAATCGTCACTTGATTATTGAATGATTTTGTCTTATCTTCAAATGCCGTTTAAGTTGATCACTTATATTCAATTATCTTACTCTAACAAATTAGGATTCTTCTTATTTATTTATTTTTTTTGAAATAGAGTCTTGTTCTGTTGCCCAGGCTGCAACCTCTGCCTCCTAGGTTCAAGCGATTCTCCTGCCTCAGCCTCCTGAGTAGCTGGGATTACAGGCATGCGCCACCATGCCCGGCTAATTTTTGTAGAGACGGGGTTTCACCATATTGGTCAGACTGGTCTTGAACTCCTGACCTCATGATCCGCCTGCCTCAGCCTCCCAAAGTGCTGGGATTACAGGCATGAGCCACCGCGCCCAGCCTACAAATCCTTCTTAAATAAAGCAATGATGGCCTTTTTTAAAACTTATGAGTTGTGAAAGTTTATAACATTTTAAATTTATTTCAAGAGTAGAAGTTACAAAAATGATTTATGGAAAAAATATTGTTTGCCAACATTGCCCTAGCTTCTGACATCTAAGAAAAGGTAACAAATACAATATGCTTTACTAAAAACTAATAGGTACTCGTTTGTAAAGACACTAATGAGTATTGGTGAATATGTGTAACCCACTTATATCTTGATTATTTGCAGGACTATTTCAAGCCTAGAAGAAATTGTTGAAAAGCAAGGAGACATCATTGAATACCTGAAGCGCCACAATGCGCTGCTGAGTAAGCGATTGTTGGCTCTCACTTCCTCGGACCTGGGCTGTCAGCCAAGTAGAACATGAGAGGCTCACCCTCATGACAGCAATTGCAGAGAAACCCAGAGTAATTCAAACTGACTGACTACCCGACAAGCTGCCACAGGGAACTGCAGCATTTGCTGAATAGCATTTTACAGTGTTTGTTGGAAACCTGAATTTGGTTCTGACTTCTGTGGCTGTTTAAAATATAGGGCTTGGGCCGGGCGCGGTGGCTCAAGCCTGTAATCCCAGCACTTTGGGAGGCCGAGGCGGGTGGATCACGAGGTCAAGAGATCGAGACCATCCTGGCCAACATGGTGAAACCCCGTCTCTACTAAAAATACAAAACATTAGCTGGGCATGGTGGCGCATGCCTGTAATCCCAGCTACTCAGGAGGCTGAGGCAGGAGAATTGCCTGAACCCAGGAGGCGGAGGTTGCGGTGAGCCGAGATCGCGCCATTGCACTCCAGCCTGGGTAACATGAGTGAAACTCCGTCTCAAAAAAAAAAAATAAAATAAAATAAAATAAAATATAGGGCTTGACTGGGCATGGTGGCTGATGCCTGTTATCCCAGCACGTTGGGAGGCCAAGGCAGGTGGATCACCTGAGGTCGAGAGTTTGAGACCAACCTGACCAGCATGGAAAACCCTATCTCTACTAAAAATACAAAATTAGCTGGGCATGGTGGCACATGCCTGTAGTCCCAGCTACTCAGGAGGCTGAGGCAGAATTGCTTGAAGCTGGGAGGCAGAGGTTGCGGTGAGCCAAGATTGTGCCACTGCACTCCAGCTGGGCAACAGGAGCGAAACTCCATCTCAAAATAAATAAATTAATTAAATTAAATATAGGGCTGTGGGTCACTTGAAAAGTGCCTGTAGAAGCCCTGATAACTTGAGGAGAATGTCTGTTTTATACTTCTTGAACTGATTTAACTGCTTGGTTTATCCTAGGATCAGAGGCTAAACAACTCCACGGTCAACATTTTTCCACCTGACACTGAACCCTGTAATGATTTGGTTATGAATAAGGGAAGCCTAACAAGACAATCTATTTTAAACAGGGTTTTAATCAAATAAGTTCTTCTCACTTTTAAGTTGATGAAAGAAGTCATTATTGCTTGTAAATATTTTTCCTGAAGAGCGTTATCATGTATTTTATACACTTACGTGGTGTTGAATGACATCATGGGCCATGTAGCTTTCATAGAGAATTTATTCTCAAGAAATAAGATAGGCATGTAGTGCTCCCCTCCCTGTGTTCTCGTTGTTCAAGTTGGGGGGAAATAGGGGAGGGATGGTGGGGGGTGGGGAGCTGGGGAGGGATAGCAAGGGGAGAGATGCCAGATGTGGGTGATGGGGAGGAAGGCAGCAAATCACACTGCCACGTGTGTACCTCTGCAACAATCTTGCATGTTCTTCACATGTACCCCAAAACCTAAAATGCAATAAAATAAATAAATGGGGGAAAAAAAAAAGATAGGCATGGACAACATGGTGAAACCCCATCTCTGCTAAAAATACAAAAAAATCAGCTGGGCATGGTGGTGCATGCCTGTAGTCCCAGCTACTTGGGAAGCTGAGTCAGGAGAATTTCTTGAACCTGGGAGGCAGAAGTTTGCAGTGAGCCAAGATCATGCCACTGTACTACTCCAGCCTGGTGACAGAGTGAGACTCCATCTCAAAAAAAAAAAAAAGGGAAATAAGTTATGATAATTATTTGGACCAGTGTTAGACTGACCTGTGTTACATAAACCTATGTTGCCTATTATATTGGCAGCACATTTCATTAGCAATAGCTGCAAAATTCAGAGAAGAATTTAGAACTTCCACTTTATTTTTGTCATTCTTCAAGAAGTTGCCATATATTTCAGTCTGGTTATACCTTCATTGGATCAATAACTTCAGTTATAGGAAAGACATCTGTGATTTTAAATTACTGTAAAAAGAAAAAAGATACCTTTTAAAGTCTTGGATTATACTTAAAAATTATAATGGGGAGCCGGGCGCGGTGGCTCAAGCCTGTAATCCCAGCACTTTGGGAGGCCGAGGCGGGTGGATCACGAGGTCAAGAGATCGAGACCATCCTGGTCAACA